GTTATACAATATTGAACTCAGTATAAGCCCTGTAAGACATAAAATTCAATGAGTTTTTAACCTTTAAAAAAGATCTCCATTTCATTTTAGAATATATTGTTCCTTGCAGAAAGACTCGTTTTTGCTACTAATCTGTATGTATCTGATTATTATTAGTCATAATCGGTTGCACTTGGATCCCTGGCGCCTTAAAAATTAAAAGACCTTGGCCAGCGAGATTGCTTGGCAGGTAAAGGCACTTGCTGCCAGGCCTGGCAAGCCAAGTTTCATCCCTAGGACCTACATGGTAGGAGAAAATCAACTCCTACAAGCTGTCCTCTGGCATCTATACATGGTCTATTGCACGTGTGCCCACACATGCACACAAATAAATAAACGTGATTAAATTAAAAGATCTAAGCAGAGTAACATGTATACCATATTACCCACAAAGTTCTGAAGTTCATTGATAGATTACATACTATTTTCATGAAAACAGCAACATGTGCACTGTCTGTGTATATCTGAGTTTGTGCATGCCCCACATGTGTGCACACGCGCATGCATGTGGGTGTGTGTACACTTGAGTGCATACCTGTGCTTACATGTGCCTTATGTACTGATTCTGGACACCGATGGAAATGTACAGCTTTGCAAGAAGGCTGTGCTGCCCGGTCCCAACTCACAGCAGAGCCAAGGTGATAAACGTGGTAGGGTAGACAGATGGCGGAGCAGAGAGAATACCCTGGCCCATACTGCCTATACGTAGGACATCAATACGCAACCAGGATGACCCTACATACCCAGGGAAACTGGATTCATACTAAAATTTGAATGCTGCCTCACACCCTACACAGATATCAGTGAGTGGGCATATCTGGAGGACCTTGGAGTGGCAAGAGGTCTAAAGGACCTTGACAACATAAGGAATTCCTATACATCAGGAAGAATGGATGAAAGCATGGGCAAGAATGAGACTCCTCACCAGGAACCCAGGAGGTATGATGAGAAAGTGCCCAATGCTTTAGGGGGAAGTTAAGACTATTAGTGCCAAGGGCTGGTGAATGGGGACGTTACAGCCCCTCCCCCCCCAACTGGAAGGTGCCAAACAGCACAACCACACCAAGCCTTGGCACCACTGTGGGCTTAGCATATGTGAATATGTGACCCAGGATCCACTCCTAGGTGATCAGTGAGGGCATGTTATGGTTCATAATTCCTATTCACAGTAGCCCCAGACTGGGACCATGGAACCTCCGGATCAGCTACACAGGACAAGAAGGACATGTCCCAACCCTATGTGCCAGGAGATGCCTTGGCATGCTCACCACACAGAAAACCCAGAGACAGTTGCAGAAAGTGTGCAGATGTGTCTGGGCTTCTAGGTGGCTCAGTGATGCCTGGGATAGGGACCGGCAGAGTGAGCAGAACATGCTCCATTCACCCATAGTCACCCACTGAGTTAGGGGAGCATGTTTTGGTTTTATGTATTGTACTTACTGAAACAGGCAGGATTTTAAAAAAAATTTATTTTATGTGTATGATTGCTTGTTTGCATGTATGTATGTACATGTCTGGTCCCACAGAGGTTAAAAGAGGGTGTTAGATCCCCTGGAACTAAAGTTATAGTTGGGCTGTGAGCTGCCATGTAGGTGCCGGAAACAGAACCTGGATCTTCTGCAAGAGCAGTCAGTGCCCTTAACCACTGAGGCATCTCTCCAGCCCTGTTTTTTATTTTTTTGATACATGGTCTTACTCTATAGCCCAGCCTGGCCTTGAACTCATGGCAGTCCTCCTGTCTCAGTCTTCTGAGTGCTGGGCTTACAGGCATGTGCCACTACATATAGCTTGAGGTAGGTTTTAAACAGCTT